TCTCGCTCTCAAATAAATAAATAAAAACTTAAAAAATTTTTTTAAAAAAAATGAATAGATGGGGCGCCTGGGTTGCTCAGTCAGTTAAGTCTCTGACCCTTGATTTCAGCTCAGGTCTTGGTCTCAGGGTTCTGAGTTCAAGCCCCACACTGGGCTCCACACTGGGTATGAAGCCTATTTAAAATTAAAAAAAAAAAAATTTAATGCATAGATCATTTTAAAATGCTAATAAAAAAGTAAGGTATTACGTTATTTAGTGAAAAATGCAAGCAGGCAGCATTATTTGTTGCCAGTTAGTTAGGATAGTGTGTAAATCTAGCCATGAACAGGGAGTGGATCCTCAAATAATCCATCAGCTCAGAACAGCAGAACACTTCCAGAGCCACGGGCTGTACCTCATGCCTTATGTATAAAAGACACAAACTATAGGAATGATCCCTGAGTAAAGTAATCTTTATCCTGGAAAAACTACACAGCAGATAACATACTGAAGTTACTGAGTTACCAGTTAAGATCTAAATTAAAGCCTGGTTTTGGTTTCTAAAAATGTTCTTAGAATTTTCATAACCACTCTATATTAGAATCAATAAACTTCTCATACTTTAATAATAATTTGGAGGACATATTTTAGCATGAGACTATGAGAAGTAATATGGTTACAAAGACATAGTTTCTCATATAAACATGTCTAATCATTCAAGTGAAACATGACGAGGCTAGTTAAACAAAAAGAAACAAACAGAAACACAAACTTCCTGATAATTCAGATGTTCTTCAAGAGATAAATTGATGAATATACATGCAAAATCTCAAAGAAAATGTAAAATGTTTTCCTTAGGAGACTCTAAACTTGTCCAACAAACAAGGAAGAAAGTGGCAGTGTAGAAATTCAGACTAGCTTCTTTAATTTAGCAGCCTAATACTGTCAACAATATGTTACATGTCCCCTAACGTGCACAAAGAACCATATTATAGGGGCGCCTGGGTGGCTCAGTCATTAAGCATCTGCCTTCGGCTCAGGTCATGATCCCAGGGTCCTGGATCAAGCCCCGCATCGGGCTCCCTGCTTGGCAGGAGGCCTGCTTCTCCCTCTCCTACTCCCCCTGCTTGTGTTCCCTCTCTCACTGTGTCTCTCTCTGTCAAATAAATAAATAAAATCTTAAAAAAAAAAAAAAAAGAACCATATTATATATAACACTCAAAATCTCAAACCATCCTGGATACAAAAAATATTTTCAATTTTCAAGTTAAATTTCATGCCAGTCCACTTCCTCTATACACTTAACCATCTTCTTTTCAGTAGATTTGATAACAAAACTTTTGAAACTACATTTAGGCAATAAAAGATGATTTTCCAACAATATTCCAATGAGAATTGCTTCAAAAAAAAAAAAGAAAGAAAGAAAAGATCTTTTCTCAAATATCAAACCTTAAGCTGAATACTTTATACTGTCTTCCCTAACCTCTTCTGGAACATTTTTTGATGTATAATTTGTATTCATTTAATTTCACAGCCCTAAACATATAAATTCTAGAAGCTTCCTAGTTAGACCCTATTTTTAGCACTCAAGATACAGCAAATTCAACATACAATACCTGATGGGTGAGCAGTCACCCCTTTATGCTTACAGTCTGAATATCTCTGCATAGCGTAGCTGAATATCAATGCTAACAGTCACTAGCCAAAACTATAAGCACAGAGAAAAGCAAGTTTTAAGGTTCTGAGTGGTAAAATCGCTTCTCAGCCTTTTGGCTAAAATCAAGGGTAAGGTTCTGAGTGGCAAATGAGAAGAGGAAAAATCAAAGGGATGGGAAACTAAACGCAAATTTAAAAATAAAAAAGTTGGCCTATACAAGAGATGACAGGAAAAAAAGATTAGAAAAAGGTGTTTGCAACCAAGAAATGCAAACTCATTCTTAACCTGCTCACCTACAGTAATCTTTATTCTTACCACGTATTTCTTTTCAAGTAAAATGGTGCCTTGGGTTTTAACAACTTGTTATCCTGGCTATTCTAAGAGTGGTTGTGTCATCTCACTTGTACCTTCATGACCCATTCCTACCTTCCTCATTCAGACTTTGGTTTTTGTTATTGTTGTTTACTGCTATATTCCCAGTCCCTAAGAAAGGACCTAGCACACAAATTGTCAAATGAGTAACAACCCTCTGAAGGAGGTATTATTACCATCCTGGTTTTTCAGATGAGGAAACTAAGGCTTAGCAAGGTTGAGTAACTTGCCCAGGGGTTACAAACCACTAGCCAGAAACAGACCCACGTCTGTTTGACCACAAAGTCCTCATTTGTACTTACCCTCACTGGGCAAAATAACTTCCTACTGTCTCTCATTTGTGTGTATTTACTGGTGGCAGCTTTCTCGTAGGGGAAGCTTCAACTTCTCCATCAACCTTTTCCCAGGCATCCTCAGCCTCTGACCCCCACTGAGGTCTTCTACAGATCTCTCCTTTCTTTGCGCTGTGTCCTCTCCAGAGTTCTATTATAACATCCTTTTTAGCCCTTTGCTATAGTTACTTCTCCTCTCTCTCTCTTTTATCTCAACTCCAAACTTCCTGAGGGCAGGAATCAGGTATCTTCAAGTGCCTCTGGCACATGGTAGAGTTGAGTAAATGTTTGATGTATCAATGAATAATCCTGACAAATCCATGAGATAAAAAGGAACCCTTTAGCTCAGTTCCCTAACCACAGGCAACCAGAGACTACCGCTTTCCTTTGCTTGAGGGTGGCAAGGGCATGCCTGAAATTCCCTGCCCACATCACAAAAGAGCATACTTAAGGCAGCTTTTCAAGTTTTGAGACATCTAATGGAAGAACAATAAGGTTCCAAAACTTTAAGGACTAAGCATAAAATCTACCTTTTAGAAGTGGCCTACCGGGATGGAACACCAGCTCTTGATTTTAAATAATGTCTGACTGGTTCAATTAAATCACTGTTTTCAGTGACTTAGCATATTCTAAGTAATTTTATTTTTATATCTCTTTGGCTTGAAAGTGTAATTTCATACTTCCCCACACATTTAAGGACAAAAACTGCTTGTCTTTTACAAAATAGGAAAATAAAACAGAACCTGTGTGTTAGGTAAAAAGACACTCGATAAATATGTTATTATGCTGCTGTTTGTAAAGCCTCCTTCCAAAAGCACATGTGGCCTATTTCAGACTAATGAATACCGGGCAACATTTACTAGATGATTTTCATTTAATTGGTATGAATACCAGGTTCAAAACATATCTAAACAAAAACTGGGCTTTTAAGAAATATATGGTGTAAAGAGCTGAAACGTCTGCCCATGACCGGTGAGTACTACATAAATAGTACTACTCCAATATTCTGGTTCTAAGAATTTATAACCAAATGCTTAGCTAGACCAATTTCAAGGTGCACATTTAAGGTTACAAGGTTACAATTTTTTTTAATACACCCACTGCCCAAGCCACAGTCTATAATTTTACTCCATTTATTAACACTAATTTCTGAGCAGTGTCTGGCACCACCTATAAATAAGGTATAAATAAGATTTATAAATAGGATATTATAAAGATGGGACACTGGAATTTCACACTTGGGAGTACATACAAACTAACATTTTTCCAAGTATTTACAAGCAGTTTTGGGAAAAAGTGAACATCACTTTGCCAAGCTGGACTTCTGACCTCTCAGTTCCATGACTAGTCTCTGCCTACCCCTATTCCCCACCCATTCCCTTCTGCTCTTCCTCTGCCAGGAATACCCTCCTGACTCATCTTTGCCTGTCTATGTCCATTACTTCCTTAGAGACCTGGCTCAAGATGCAGCTCCTTGAAAAAGGCCTCCCTGACTAATCCTGATTTCCACTACTTCCTAACTTTGCATTCCCTTGGCATTTATAGTTTGCATTACATAATCAGTAACTTAAAGTTGTTCTGCATTTTTCCATCATGTCCCCAACTAGAGAGCAAATAGAGGAACATTATCTTTTATATCTTCTTCTAAACAGCCAGTAATAAATGCTTCCTTCTTGAATGACTGAATCACCCGTGAGAGAAAGGCATTCGCTCAAAAATTTCTGGCTTTTCAGATCACCTTGACAATACTCTACCACCTCCAACATGCATGAGTACTTCACGGAAAGGAGATTTACTTTTGCCTTCCATAAATTCATCACAAAAGATCCAGATTACAGATCACGTAGGTACTTAAAGCAAATAATAATAGTGGCTATTCAACCATATCTTGAGATTTAACATTTCAGGCTTCATTCAAAGCCTTGAAGGAGCACGCCTCTGAATGCTAGGAAGCTGGCACCAGTCTCTTGCAAAAGGGGCAAAACTCTAGTTGGCAGTAAATGTTCAAACACGTGAGCCTCCTCTGTTAAACAAGGCTCATTAGCCACACAGACTTGCTGTCTCAGCTTTCTGGCTTCGATGAAGTGCTATGATCTCTTCTGGTTATTGTCGAGAGTCAATGGTGGGTTAAATTCCCATAAATTAACCAGTAGTTTCGGTGGTTTGCCCAAACATACCACTGGCATCGGTGTGGGTGGTTTTTTTGTTTGTTTGTTTTTTAAACAGACCCTCTCTCGCCCGGGGGAGCCAGATGTGAGTGAAGAGGGCGCCAAGCCGGCATTTCGCAGGAGGCAAAGCGAGACCTCCAGGACTCGAGCCCGTCAGTATCCCTCTAGTTCTTAGTGTCAGCTTATCTTGAAGAGGCGGGGCTTCAAGCGCTGCAGCTTTTTACTAAATCTCAACCGAGTCTTCCCTAGGGACTGAAAGCCAACTTTCCCTGCAAGAAGCATCAGTTTTTTCCACACCCAAAGCCCCAGTGGGCAGGGTCCAAGGGACAGCCGGGCCACCGGCGCGGGGAAGCCGAGGGCGCGGAGGGGGAGGGAACGGACTCTCTCCGCAAAGGGGACCAGGATGGTAAAAACAAAGTGAGCGCCCGCCAGCCCAGCGCCGCCTGCCGCCCCGCCGCCCCGCCGCCCCGCCGCCCGCCGGCCCCGCTCACCCTCCAGCAGCACCTCCTTGCCCGCGCGCTTCAGCGCCTGCACGGCCTGGTCGTGGGTGGCCTGGCGCAGGTCGGTGCCGTTCACCGACAGGATGGCGTCGCCCAGCCGCAACGCCCGGCTCTGGTCGGCCGCCAGCCCCGGGAAGATCTTGGAGATGAGGATCGGCATCCGGTTCTCGCGGCCGCCCTTGATGCTGATGCCCAGGCCGCCCGCCTCCTGCTTCACTACCCGCACCCGGCGCACGGGCGGCGACGCGCCCGCCTCGCCCGCCGGGCCCCGCGGCGGCGCGGGCGGGCTCGGGGGACCCAGGCCGCGGCTGGGGCTCCCCGGGAGCGAGTCGCCGGCGCCGCCGCCGTTCGGGAGGCCGTTGAAGGCAGCCGCTGCCGGCCCCAGAGCCGGCTCGGGCTCAGCCGCCGCAGCGTCGCCCGTGAGGCTTAGGCTCTCCCCGCTGAGCTCGGCCACCACACGGACCCAGCGCTCCCTCAGGAGCAGCTCCACCAGCCCCGCTTTGGTGGCCCGCGTCCACACCGCCATGGCCGGCCCCGCTCCCGCCGCCGCAGTCGCCGCAGCTACCCTCATTCCAGTCAGGCAGCCTCGGCGCTTCCCCCTTCCCGCCCGAGGGGGCGGGTCCTGCCCCTACCCCCCCGCAGTCTTTCATTATTCATGAGAGGCCACGCCCGTCGTCCGGAGGGGCGGGGAGTGGCGGGCGAAGCAGCTTCCGGGAGGTTAAGTCGTTGCGCGTCTTCAGGCCAGTCCCTTGATGCTCGCTGGGTTTGGGCAGCGCGGGCGCCGTGAGGGCTCCGTCTCACGTTCTCCTTCGGTTGGTCTCCGATGGCCACCCCCGAAACTCCTGACCTCTACCGCGCAGTTCGAGCAGCCCCGGTACGGAAAACAAAATCAGCCTCAAGAAGCACTTTGCAAGCCTGCAAGACTTGGTTGCACGTTCACTCCTGCATTGATTGGTTCATTATGTATTTACTAAGTGCTCAGCCCTGTGCTCCTTTCGATGCCTGGAGATGAGCTGAATAAAACGTACCACAATTAAGAGCTGGCGGTCTAGTGGCGGAGGAGAACCGAGAACCAAACAACCTGAGGCGATACTATGCGGTTAAGTGACATGTAGAATACGCCCTCAGAGCAGAGTAAAAGAAACCTTCGGTTGGGCCTGGGGTCAGCTTCACAGAGGTGACAATGGAAGGTGAGTAGGTGAGCAGAGAGAATTGCATAAGCAAAGGTCCAGAGACATGAATGCAGGTATTTGTTACTCTGCTTTGTAATCACCTGTTCACTTGCCTGGAGTGAGGGGACCATTGCTTCTTCAGCTCTGCAGCTACAATAGGTAGGCCTCATAGATATTTACAGAATGATGGTTACTTAGGAAGATGTCAGAATTCCAATGTGAACACAGCATAGGGTCAGTGGAGGTGGCAGGAAAGGAGTGTGAAAAGCCTCTTATCATCTAACATGGAAGAGTTCGGACTTGGATTCGTAGATCTAACTTTTTTATCCTGGAGGTCATGGCCAGTTGTTGGGGCAAATGTTGATGGGTATCCCCAGAAATTGTATGCACACTGCAGACTCTGCAGTGGCTTTTATCCAAAGGCATGAGTGTTGCAATCCACCCACTTCCAGCTTCATGGGCTGGGAGAACTGAGGAAACTGAGGCCCAGAATGCCAAAGACTCTGGCCCAAAGTCCACAGTGAGGAAGGAGAAAAAACTCGGGTCTCCCAGCCTCCTGGTCCAGGGCTTTACTACATACCTCAAACCTCAAAAATGAGGGTCCAGAAATCACACTGCTGACAGAGATCTCAGCAAAAACATGAGGTCAAGGTGCCCTCTAACTTTTCTTCAGCAGTAAAAGCGAAATCCCCATGTTTTCACTTGTGCGACGTGGGGCTGCAAGCAGAGGGAATGAATGTGCACCAATTCCTGTAAAAGGGTCTGGATACCTGCTTGCTCATGAAGTACATGTTGAAGCTCGTGAGCCATGTCCATGCACTTCTCTATGAATGCACATTCGTGTGTGGGCAGGAACATTCAAAGAGCCTCCTATACCAGGAGTTAAAACAATAAAAATGGAGACTGGAAAGTATCCAGAGCCCAAATGAAGAAAGAATTCAAAATGAGAAAAGTTCTTACCAAAAAAATCATTACCGCAGAATCCTCTTTGCAATTAGGGGAGCAGGATTTTCCAAGCTGCAAATGTCAGCAGAAGCTCAACCCTCCAATCCTCTCCTAAATCAATTGCAATGAAGCCAGCTCCCTGTTCCAGCAGGTCCCGATGTGCCCAACCAAGTGCATCTGCAGTCACAGATGTTCCTGGCTGTGCTCCAGCTGAGGCGTGAGCCCCCAGAGGCCTGAGTTATGTGAAATTTCTCCTTATTAGAGAGAACTTGGCAGCTGATTCCTTCGAGTATAAGCACTATTTTGAACACTTTTATGTCCATAATCATCCAGAGGTAGGGCACTTGACGACATCTTTATTAGCAAAAGGGAAGTGCTGGAAATTCTTTCCAGAAGTATCAAGAACTTTTTGATCAACAGAGTTGGAGGAAGTCGTAGATCTTCCAACTAAATAGCAAGGGCACTTACATAAGATAGCAAGTTATGTGACATAATTCTAGGTATTTAACTCTAGGAGGAGAGAAGGTAATGGAGGTTGCTATTTGGGTTACTTGGGAGTTTTTACTTAAAAGATTATTTTTAAATATTAGTGAAAAATCCCCAATTTATTGAGCTGTTTTTACAAGGTCCTCCATCAGACTCTAATTTTCACCGTTCTCTCTCATCACTACGTTCAGATCAGCCACATTCAGTCAGTGTGATGCCTTGCACGTTCCCCACTGAGGCCATCCTTCCAAACACCTCCTGCCCCTCTCAACCACTTTCTTACATAGCAAGATCTCATCCCAGGCTTCCCTGTCTACCCAATTTGCTGGGATTTTTCCTTTGAACAATTTTATTCTATGCCTGCCTGTTTTGCCCAAGTAGGTTATAAAACACAGGCGGGCAGGGACCACCCATTGACTTCTTTTTGTCCCCCACTATTCCAAAAATATTGCCTTGCCGAGAAGAACTCATTAAACATGTGATTGATTGAAATTCAGTGCCTTCTGTGCTGTAGTCATTTCAAATAATCCCTCTGAAGGTTACTGGTTCCTTGCAGAGTGAAAATTACAATCCAGGAAATCTCAAGTAGTCAGTGGAAATCTACTTACTGTGGATAATGAAATCTGAAATAAAAAGAGTACACATCTGTTTCCACAGTTTCTTAGGGACAGAGAGACAAGCTTAGATAATTCTCTGAACAGGCATGTTATTTTATCTACCTCTAAAAAAGGAAATGGCTGAGGTAATTCCTAATAACCTTTCATTCCTCTCACCTACCAATATGTATTCTCTGCTCAAGCTGTTATCTTACTGTTTCTCAGAACAAGGCAGGGATCATTGCTACTTTATTTTTTATTACTTTATTTTTTTTAAAGATTGATTTATTAATTTGAGAGAGCGAGCACATATGGGGGAGGGGCAGAGGGAGAGGGGGAGAGAGAATCTCTAGCAGACTTCCCGCTGAGCTCAGAGCCCAATGCAGGGCTCTATCTCACCAACCCTGAGATCCTGACCTGAGCTAAAACCAGTAGGACGCCCAAATGACTGAGCCACCCAGGTGCCCCTATTTTTTTATTACTCCTTTAAAATGAGGGGGTTGGATTAGCTCTCAGTTCCATAATTTCCTAGAATTCTATGACTTAGGCTCTGATTCTATGCTCTCTCAAAACCCAATGGTCTTCCCCCTCCCCTTCTCCCTCATAGTAGGTATATAATATAGCATGGTAATTAAGAACAGGACTCAAATTGTAGTTTGGCTATTTACTATACTATATGACAAGAGGAAAGGGGCTGAGGTCATGAGCCTCAATTTCTTATTCGGAAAAGTTCAGATGCCTTCTACCTCTAAGGATGGCTGTGAGGGTTAACTGGGATGTCCTATGGGAAGTGTTTAGCAGCACTGTACCTGCCACCCTGAAAGAGTTCCATAAAAAGTACCTGCTATTATTACCTGTTCACCTGCAGCAGGTATTTTCTACCTTTGGTAGAAAGTCTCAAGCTTAAGAGTCTATACTTTATCTAGGAATGAGTCTGACGTAATACCATTTGATTCCAGGCTTAAAAGGCAAATGGCCAAATTAATTTCGGTGACAAACAGATCTTGTATAAAGCTACATTTCGGCTGAAAGGGAGTAGGTATTGCCAAGAGTCCGTCAAAGGAAAGAATTAGTGGATCTGGGGTTTGTTCCAAGGTTTGAGTGTTGTGTAATTTCATAAGGAAGGAGGGCCCCAGGCAAAATTGCAGCCCTTAGCAAGCCTGAAGGTCACCACCACAAAGAGGGCCTGATGCCAGAGGAACAAACACAAGAGCTGCTCAATTACTACTAAAGAAGAGACCAAAGGAAGAATGAAGCTTGTAAGATAACCAATCCAACATCCAACTTTGAAAATTTATCCATGCGTGACTCTTTCCCAGTTAGAAGACAGTGAGATCAATTGTCCCTTTCAAAGGGCAGTACTCCATTGCCTTCCAGGAGAAAGATCCTAAAACGTATTTTTCTTTCTAGCACAAACATGAAGTGAAAGAGGGAAAGGTGAATATATCCTTTAGCTGATGCAAGCACATTTGAAAATTCACCCCACCAAGATAAATCACTATCTGCAACCCACAAAAATGGATTAACTATTTCATGCATTAGGACTAGAAAACCCACATCTGCTAACCACATTCCTAATGAGAAGCAGCTGGTGACAGTTTTGTAGCTCTGTGACTTTCTTTTTAGGAAAATATTAGCAAGGACATACTAAGCAGAAGGTTAGTTTCATTGAATCCACTTAGTTATGGAAAATCACCAGTGTTTTTTATTGACAGTCATGGAAATCACACACTTTGCCATGAAATTCAGATAAAGTCCCCAAATAAAAATCCCTTTTCCTTCATTACCAGTTCCAACAGAATTTTCAGTGCTTCACCATAAGACTTGGGAGTCTGGCAGTCAGCTTCACCTCTCTTCTTTCACAGGGCATTAAACCCCAAATCATATTTATTGATGCACACAGTGTTTTTAGGCCTTTCGTCCCATAGCTTCAACTTCCTCCTGAGTCGGTTAATGCAATTACAGGCCATTGGAGGGATCAGACCCCTTTGAGAATCCGTTGCATGCTGTGGGCACGTCTCAGACAAATGCTCACTTATGCAAAGTATTCAGTTTGGGGGCTCACAAAGCCCCAAGAGCCCTTCCATGGAGTCCTTAATGGGCTGAATTGTGTCCCCTCAAAATGTATAGGTTGAAATCTAACCCATAGTATCTCAGAATCTGAGTGTATCTGGAGATAGGGTTGTGGAACTAGCGGGATAGGTTATGCTCTCTCTTGCTTCTGGCTTTTGTACTGAGAACGATTTAGGAATGCTTTTCTTCCCCCTTTCCCCTTGATCATTACCACCCAATTCCAACTGCTAACTCTGCTGGTGAGGTGCCCCTTATCTGTGCTCATCCCTAATGTAGCCTCATTGATTTACTTGTTCCTTTTCCCAACGAGGCTGTGAAGTTCTT